GAATGCATACGACCTCAAGGGAACTTAATTGTAGTTCTACGAAACGGCAAATAATTCTCCATTTCTGTCGGTAATACGTTGGCAGAAAATGAAATACTCTTTACGTGGCAATAAGGTAAATGTGTAGTTAGTTCACATAATAACACAGAATACTATATTTTAAATAACGAATCTTCTTACCAGATCTGGCATGGACATTGGTGAGTGAGCACGCACTTCGCTTGTACTTGGCTGCGGAGTTTCTCGGCCACTCGCATCTCCTTTGCTTCTTTTAAAATCGTATATCTTTGACTGAAAGCATTTTGTATTAGTACAGGAACTACCCATGTCAACATAAATAACAAAGTTATTCCTTTTGCTTAGCTGAAAGAAAAAAAGTTATTATATGGCCAAAACTTTCATGAACACCTGAAATGAATTTTGGACACACGGTGACCTATTATCTTGTCAGTTAAATGTCAACTTGCTTTCAAAAAAGAAATGTTTAGTTAACTGTGTTGGCAAGAAGGGCATGTATCATATATAATATAGTGATTGAAGTTTTTAGGATTATGTTTCTACTTACCAGGTCTTCTTCTGAGCTGTCATCAGAATCAGGTGATATATCTCTCTTCCTTCCCCTACGCTGCAAGTTTACATGATTTTCTATTTTCAGCATTTCGTGACACACATAGGCAATGACCACTACGGAAATTTCCTGCTTTGCAATAAACACAAGTTCTTTGTATCTACTGTCATCTGGAAACAATGTAATGACTTAGAAAAACGTACACATGACTTTTAACTAGAGTGTAATCAAATAGTCATATTATACACTACACTATACCATCTAATGATACCATTATTTGGATACAACGCAGTACGTACCCTAGCTTTACGTGCAGTTTCACGTTCACTTCATTTGATAATAATTTTTTTTGGTTATCGTATCTGTTCTGAAAGGGTACATTTAAGGTTCACTGTCTGTGATTACGCAAGACATTATTCTTACCGGTAGCGTTTCTTGTCCTTTCGAATGCATGGCATCATAGCGCTCCGTCATATGTACCACCGACATGCACATCAAGTGCACA